ATTTGTACGCATAAATACAATTATGTCAATTTTTATTTATTTTTTTTCCAATGTACATAGTTTTTACAAGTATGAATGTGCTTTGAGCAATTGTTTTACAACTTTTATTTACAACTTTTAAACATCATTAAAATTTTTGTAACTCTAGCTTCAATTCGACAATATATCACTGAACATATATTTAATATCGAAAGAATCATTACCTTTATCGCCGCAATTATCGTTGCTATAAACAATTGACACCACATTCACTTTTCACTGCACTTCATACTTGACGAAAACATGTAAATGTATTATTGTATAGCAGCTGTCCACACGGACGCATCGCTCACTCAAGTTGGAGAGAGACAGATGTCCAACGCTACCGAACGCGGAGGCCGATTGTGCCTCTTTGTCGCTCGTTCCGCGCTCTCGCTTGCACTTCAGGCCTTAAATGGAACGCCTCAGAGCGTGGTAACGCCGCATGAGTCATGTCTTTTCGTGCGTGCAGCCGCCTCCATCGAATTATAAGACGTTGTCACGTCCAAACTTTATTTGAGCGGACTCGTGTTTCGCCCATTTCACGGGAGTCTCGCGTTGATAATGCCCACATATGAAGTGGGCGAAACACGTGTCCGCTCAAATAAAGTTTTTTGTGGTAATTAGGGGTGAGTCCTCCTTTTAATTTTTAATTAATATTTACCACAGTTTCCTCTTTCTACTTTTAAAGTATTATTAGATTTCTATATTTCTAAATCATAACATTTGATTTTTGAAGACTTACATTTCGATTTGTATCGATAATTAAGAAGCGTTAAACTTTTGACGTTGAAAGCGTTTTTATAAAAATCCAGGTATTTATATCACCTAACACCTACGTAGATACAGGTACATTGGTTTTCGAAGGAGTGATGTTAGACGAAATCTAAGCAAATCAACACTTGATTTTCATAACAATTCAGATATTTTTCCCGAACAATTTTCTAGTAAAAAGTATAAACCAAAACAACTTCTTTAAGATAGTCCTCTTGAATCTTCGTTTTAACGAATATTGTAGATGTAGTTCTTTATTATCTATTTTTAACATAGGATACCTCTAATAAGGGAACATCTATTAATTACGTAAGCTCAAGATGAGGAAGATGTCCAGCAAAATCTCATAAAATCTCATTTATAAAGTTAGCCAGGAAGGGGTCATTGAAAATCTCATATCGACTTTTTAATTCAAAGAATATACAGTATTACATGCAAATAAGAAAAAATTCATTAATATTACTTTTTTGGGGTGGCCCATTTTGTTCTGTCAAATCCCACACGAAGATGAGGGGTGATCCCGCTACATTTTATCAAATCTCACCAAGAGGGTGGGAGGGGTCTAAATGAAAAGAAAAATATCTCACGTAATAATTAATTAATTATTTCATATTAATCATTATTCTAAACTTTCCAAATATATTATCTATACTGTGTAAAACCTAAAAGGGTGTGATCCAAACTGCGCTATCATTATTATGTCCTCACCGGTCGCGGTCTACGCAGATATTTGTACTTAATAATATTAAAAACGAATAATATTAGGATGAAAATAATGGACCGATACTGACCTAATGATGAAAGAATGAAACTATGATAAAAAAATAACAATTTGATCATGAATGAGGTGACAAAATGCGATTTTTTGAATAAAAAAATTATAAAATTAAAAAAACAATAGAGGACCTAACGAAAAAATTATTGGACCTTAATTGACCTAACGGGGACCTATCGATTAAGGTCATAATCATCTCGCAAATCTTTCGATGAGGTGCTTAGTTTGCACAACCGCTTACAGTAGGGTTGCCAACCGTCCTGTTTTCCCAGGACATGTCCTAGTTTTTGTAGTGTCCTGGATAGTTTTTAAGCAGCGTCCAGGGTTTTTAAATTTTAAAATTCGCGCGCCTCTTCTCAACTCAACCACAAATACTAAAGGAAATTAATGGGATTGAAAAATATAGTAAAAATTAATAAGTTTATAATATTAGAATGATACTATAACTAACCTAAGTTTAAGAAATTTGTTACAAACTAGAGTGTTTGTTTTATATTTTAATAACTAGTTTTCCTATTTCATCCAAATACTTTTATTAAAAAATGTGATTATTTTAATTAAATGCGTCCTATTTTTAAACTGAACCACCTCCGAACCTATGCAGTAGAGGTAGAGCATATATGCTCTAAGGCCTTGTATATGTATATGGCGTCATCAACATACGGACCTATAAACTATTTGGGAGTGCTTGTAAACGCGCTATGATTGTTATGAACAAATTTCGCACCACTTTCAAATCGTCAAGTAATTTTCAAAAACTAGTCTAGAAAAGATTAATGTAAATTCATTGTTTTCGTTTTAATATTTTGTAATACATAATTATTTCTTTTGTCACAAGGCCTGGGTACCCATGTAAATGAAATTTATTATTTTATGCATATATGGTTATTAATGAAAAACTTTTTCATGTTTCCCTTTTACACGTTTCACTTTTACACTCTGAATTACTTCCTCACTGCTTCCTACATAACTCGTATTTCTTATTTCTTGATACTAAACAACAACGAAATTAAGAAATTAATTATAAACTCTGTATTTACCTATTCTTTTTCAGTTGGATAAATCCAAACCAGTGTTGGTTGCTGGCGATCCGGAACGAATTCACATGGCTTCAGTTGATAAAGCGGGTGGTATTACATATATTCAAAATCAAATAGATAATTGTAATAAAATCGCTAAAGAGTTAAATGTAAAGCCGTTACAACCCGTTGCGTAGACAACGCATCACATCATTAAGATCATCATTCAATTTCACTATTGAAAATACTACGTAATACATACAACAAATTTAGATTTTCTTAAGGCGGAACATTAATTCATAATATTGATATTGATTTAAATCTATAAAAGAAAATAAAATGTTTTTTAAAACTTTTTTTTAGCTTATAATTCTATTTCTCAAACTTACAAAAATATGCCGACAACGCAGATATAAACAATTATGTATTAAATAGCAACAGTAAATGCAATAAAAGCCAGACAAATATTCAATTCTTTTTACTAATAAAACTTGACATAAAAATATATTGCTATACAAAAGTTTGTACAAAAATAGATAAATATAAAATCATAGAGGCAGGAATCGTTTCATAATGGCATAAATTACTTAATAACATCGGCCAGCGATTAAGACACTACAACCTCGTCTCGTGCCTATAAGGGTGTCGTAAATTACGAATCGGTACGGGGGGCGAATTATAATCCGATTCTTCGGCAGAATCTACATCACCATCGCTGCTATTTGTCGATACGACTCCCCTTATTGGTCTCCTCGATCGAGTTCTTCTATAATATTTAAACTCACGCGGTAAGGTGTACGACCGTGGGAGTGACAATTGACTTTCTAGATCTGATGGTGGGTGTAATGCTGGGGGATCCACCGGTTCCGGTTCCGGAATCGGACAATCACAGTATAAATAACGAGGTGTGAGCAAAAGCTCGGGGGTACGACTTCTGGGAGCCCTTGGAGGCGGACGACGATTCAAATTAACACCATAACTTGCCAAATTATTCAAAGATGCGAGGCTTAGCAGTTGAGGTTCCACATGATGTTTTGTACGGGGAATAGGCTGACGATCGTCTAATTCCACGCCCACCGGACCTCCCAATTTACCCTGCTTAATTTCTTCTTCAATTATCTTCAACTCAGCCAACTGCTTTTCTTTTTTCTCTTGAAGTTTCTGTTGAATATTGACTCGCGAACCAACACTACTTCCTTCATTTTCGCTAGAAGAAGGAAGAGGCCTCCTCCAGAACGGTACAGAAACTTGATTAAGACCAGGAGGAGGTACGAAACTTGTTGGTTTTTTCTTCTTTCGATACAATGCTTCAGCCGACGGATTTACGAACCTGCACTTGAACACTCCTGGTGGCTCAGAAGGCTTCTCTAAAAGCCTTTTTATGTGAAAAAATCGATAATAAATTAGCATAAAAAAGATCCCCAAGCCAAAAAGTCCAACTGTGAGACAAGGAATCACTTGCCAGTTTATGTTACGATTTTGCCAAATTGTAGCTAGCCAAGCACCTACCAAAACAGAATTTTCGAGCAGCATCACTGTATAAAAGATGATCATTGTACGACTGTGGGGTTTGTCATGTATGTTTATGTAGGCAATTATATACATTGCCGAAATAATTACACACATGCCCAATCTCTGCTTACCCTGTCCATGAAACGTACTTTTTGGAGACAGTAACCATAAAAACATGCATGCCCAGTGGAGTGCCAATACCTAAAACAAGTGTTTTATTTTCAATTAAACTGCAACAATTTATGTAATTTAAATAATTGCATCTTTATTTCAACTTTTCTTGCAAAATATAATTTGAGATTTAACACAGCAATTTGTCTACATTATCAATAGTGTATGTATTCAAATATCTTACTAAAAATATCCAAGAATGGTAACTGATTGTATAAGCAGATAATGCAAGTGCTCTTGCTGAGACAGTTCCTGCCCTCCACAATAACTGTGATATAACTCCCAACCATGTCAAAACTAATCTGTCAACATTTTGCACATGTTTACTGAATGATGCAAGCGCCCAACAAATTGAAAACAAACTCAGTGCAGAAGATACTTTAACAAGGTCACTGGAGGGTCCTTCTGTACTTTCTGATAGCAACATGCTTAATTCAATAAGCAACATAGGAGCAGCTTGCAGAAATCCATAAACCAAGCGGAGGATACAAAGATCTTTTACTTCATTCTTAACGTTTGTCAATTTAACAGGAATTAGGAGACGTGCATATCTCCATACAACTCCCAACTGAGCTACATGTAAAATCACCACCATAAACCGAGTACAGTGTGGTGGTTTATTATTCAGGTACCAATTAAGGGAAAGAACTTGAATCACAATTGAGGCAAATAGAACTACTGTTAGGCACTGGACGAATTGCAATTTCATTTGCTTCTCATAGAGAGCATAAACCATTAATAGGTCAAACACTATGTCGCAAAAGTATGCCGCTAAAGATACAACATTAAACAGTAGATCACATAGCGGCAGAAATTCCGCCATAACTCTACATTGCTCGTTTCCCTCTGAAATAAAAATAATCATTTCACATAAATAAATCAAAATAATAATGCCTATTTTTTCATACACCTTCCTTGTCATGAAGACTACATTGTACCTCCAATAACAAAAATTGTATATTAAGTAGAAAACAAATGTTTAAAAGTAGTTTTGCATATGAACATTTAATAAATTATTTAAAAAATTCTATAAGTAAAATGGTAACATCAGGAGTATTTAAAAATAAATTTATAGTTTATAAATACTTCTACAGATTAAAATAAAAAATGTAATAATACTAAATAATTGTAACTATTTGCTAGCAATAACAAGACTCACTTATTATTCTTCATTATTTCTTTGGCATGAAGCCACATTCCATTACTTAACCTCCAAGCATTTTTATTGATGAAGAACTTCAAACTAATGAAAAAAATTTCCCAACTATTTCTGAATATTTAAGGAATTCCTGCATATTACTTAATAAAAAACCAAAATAATATCAAACTGAAAACACTAATAAATATTTAAATAAACAAAAATTACTACAGTTAAACAGCTCATGAAAAGTTTCTTAATGAGTAACTAACCAATAATAAATGTAATAACTAATAAGTAAATAACTGGTAAATAACAAAAAGACCAGAAATATACATAACGGTTTATTAAAGGCGGTTAAAAGTGATGTTTATATCGTGTATGTTATAATAAGACGATGGTATCATACAGGTATAATACATATAATATGAAATGAAAATAAATTGAAATAATAGAATAGAGCATACGACCAAAAAAGATGCAATAATATGATAATATGTCAGCCATAGATGTCAGCTTATGTGTATGTAAATGAGAATCATAATGAGAATGATGGACAGCAGAATTATCAGCATAAATTAGTATTAGTATTATGTATCTCTAATCTATGGTTATCAACGTTCCGTTGTATTTGTACAAACACAAATGGTGTTCTAGTTTTGTGAGTTTGCATGTTGTCCATAGATAAGTGTATTGTCTATTGTTATCATTGAACTAACCACATATATGTTATTATTATTATTAGACGGTGACTCCATGCCCGATATTGAATACGCAGCTGCATTTCTTCACGTCCTTGAACGTAGAGCATTAAATGCCGTATATCCTTTGGCTCGACATTTTGCTGCATTCAAATTACTATTAAGCAAGAAAATTACTTCGTGAGTGTTGTCTTACGGTTATCTTTCGTACTATAGCCTGATAACCCTCAGCTATAGATATTATCTATAACACAGTTTAGTACAATCACCCCATGTATATCTATTATCTATTAGTACAATATTAATCAGATACAGTAATGGTTTAGATATTATCTATGGTTTAGATCACAGTATAATTCAGTTAAAATTCAATTTGGTAAGGGTGGTGAGGGAGTGGTGAGCTTATGGTGCTTTGTATATATCTATTATGTATGTTTATACCCTTTGTAGATCTATTATCTATGGGTGTGTGATACGTTGATAGGTGATAGGTTTAAATAAATTTNTATGTAGCATTACTACATATGTACGTTTGTGGTAATTTAATTATAAGTTAAAAATGCCTTTAAAATTTGTACTAAATTTTAACTACAAATAACTTGTACCAATGAAATTAGAATTTGCTACAAAATATAAAAAAAAGATCTTTCTTAATACAAAACATTTTTGCTAAATAAAAAAATATCTTTCTCAAGTATACCTTTTGGCGTTTTTGGCAAATTGTAGGAGAGCAAATTTAAGTGGAATGTTATTCAATTAAATATTAAATGCATAGACAAACAGCAGCTTATATGGCAACTTTAAGTACGTAATATGGCAATACACATTTACTGGAGTGAACTACAATACGAATATTATTCAAAATAATATTTGTAAATAAATAAATACGTTCTATCCTATTGTGCCATATCCCGTTAAATTTTAGTATCAACATTTCGAAAAGGAATATTTATCAAAGTAAACTTTTAAATAAATAAAAAATTTGCTCAATAAAATTGCGAAATCTAGCATAACGAAATCTAAATAACTGCTATACGCTACAATATCATTTGTATAATAATTCTTAAATAAATTAGAAGTGATGGACATAAAAGAGAAGCTTAGGAGAAGATTAGAAGTTTTAAAAAGTATGTAATATTTTCTGTTGCATGCATATAATTGATTTATTTAAATTTATATGTATAAAACGTTTGTTTTTTGATATAGATAAGAAGTCATCTGAAGATCTTGAAAAAATAGAAGAAGAAGAGTTTGAAAGATGCATGAATGAATGGTCAGGTAAAAAGTTGTCTGAACGAAAAGGTCTCCCTCGCTTTTTTCACAGACTTCCACGAGATGAATTAATTCGACAAAAATTTCGTGAAGAAACAAGATCAAACTTTCTTCAAAGAAAAAGCAAAGAATTACTTGATAACAATGAATTAAAAGCACTGTGGGCCCTTTTAGATCAACATCAAACTTCTCCTGATGAGCAACTTATTAGTTATTCTGATTATCAAAAATTAGTATCCTCTGCAGGTGCTAAAGTTAAACCATACTTAACCACAACTGTTTTTGCTAAATTACAACAGGGAGATCCTTACGGACGGGTTCCTATTTTATCCCTCTTTAATTATGTGATGAGAAAAGTATGGTTACAGCAAACAAGAATAGGTTTATCATTGTATGATGTTTCTGGACAAGGTTATCTTCGTGAAGCAGACTTAGAAAGCTACATTTCAGAATTGCTACCCACCTTACCTCAGTTAGAAGGTTTAGAAAGCTCATTTCATAGTTTTTACATATGTACTGCAGTAAGAAAATTTCTTTTTTTCCTGGATAGCTTAAGAGCAGGACGTATTAGAATTTTGGATGTTCTTGCCTGTTCTTTTCTGGATGATCTGCTAGAACTTCGAGATGAAGAGCTGAGTAAAGATTTACAAGAACAAAATTGGTTCAGTGCACCCTCAGCCTTAAGAGTATATGGGCAGTATTTAAACCTTGACAAAGACCATAACGGAATGCTAAATCAATCAGAATTAGCTGGTTATGGTTCAGGAACTTTGACTCAACCTTTTCTACAAAGAGTTTTTCAAACTTGTCTAACATACGGAGGAGAAATGGATTACAAAACTTATCTTGACCTAGTTCTTGCACTAGAAAATAGATCAGAGCCTCAATCTCTAGCATTTCTTTTTCGAATATTAGATTTAAATGGGCAAGGGTACTTGGATGCTTTCACATTAAATTATTTCTTTCGTGCAATTCAAGAGCAAATGCGATCACATGGCACAGAACCAGTTAATTTTCAGGATGTTAAAGATGAACTTTTTGATATGGTGAGACCAAAGGATCCAGAAAAAATTACATTAGCTGACTTAATTGCATGTGGTCAGGGTGATACATTTATAAGCATTCTAATCGAATTTCATAGATTTTGGACATATGAGAACCGGGAAGCAGTTGCAGCTGATCCTGTGCAAGATTGACTGACTGACTATAGGTATCGTTTTGCCATTACTGTTACATATTTTTAATAGAAAGCTCAATCATAACAAACTTAATACAAATAATTAATAAAATTACAAAGGTAGTAGCCTACAGAAAACTGTGTATGAGAACTTTGATATTCTCTTGGGGAGTCCAACTAGACTTACTATTGTGCCTAGCAGACAAATTAATAAATATTATATAACTAATAGATCATTTCAAAAGAACAAAGCATATATACAACTGTTTATTATGATATAAAAAAGAAATTTGTTACATTATTTTCACAACCGACTTTACACTTTTAAACCAATATACATATATTTAATAAATCTTTCAAAAGTTTGCCTTTACTTTATGTAAAGTACATTAAGACATCTACTTAATTTGTGTTTAAGTACAGAAAGATTAGGCCTCTGCAGAGTTTTACAAAAACCGATCAACTATTTAATAGTTGTTTGAATTAAAAAGCAGTTCAGCTACAAAGGAGACTTTTTATCTTAGCGAAAATTCTTTTCGAAAATTTTGGCTCTAGAGTTTATATTTTCTAATGTATCGTTATTGGTCAACAAATCATGTTGTACAAGGTGAAACGAGAAATAATACACTTATTAAGATTTAACAAAGGAAACTCTTTACTTATTATTGTTCACTGAAATTTTAAATGCGTAATTAACAAGTATTTTAAGTAACTAATCAGAACGTTATCTTTGCTGTATGTACCTAGTTGCGATATAAGAGACGTCGTTTGTCTTAGTTCTCAGTTATTCGGTAATTACACATCCAATAGAAAAATTAGAAGTCATTTAATTTACTACAGTATTTTTGCGTTTGGATTAAAAAAAAAAAACAAGAATTACACCCTGTACAACATAATGGGGGCGCGAAAGTAACAAGAGCAAATTATAAAAAATAACTCATAAAAATTACAATTTATATACATACATATTAAATCTTAAAATGTAATAAAGGAAGCACTACATAGAAAGAAAACATGCACTTTATTATTTTACATTTTCATTAAGTAGTTTTATGTGATAGAAAAGTCAATATATAGATTATAAAGCGCAGTATGTAGCATTACTACATATGTACGTTTGTGGTAATTTAATTATAAGTTAAAAATGCCTTTAAAATTTGTACTAAATTTTAACTACAAATAACTTGTACCAATGAAATTAGAATTTGCTACAAAATATAAAAAAAAGATCTTTCTTAATACAAAACATTTTTGCTAAATAAAAAAATATCTTTCTCAAGTATACCTTTTGGCGTTTTTGGCAAATTGTAGGAGAGCAAATTTAAGTGGAATGTTATTCAATTAAATATTAAATGCATAGACAAACAGCAGCTTATATGGCAACTTTAAGTACGTAATATGGCAATACACATTTACTGGAGTGAACTACAATACGAATATTATTCAAAATAATATTTGTAAATAAATAAATACGTTCTATCCTATTGTGCCATATCCCGTTAAATTTTAGTATCAACATTTCGAAAAGGAATATTTATCAAAGTAAAC